TCTTTGCAATGTTATAGGTATCCCTTTGTCTGTGTCTCCATTGGTCTTACCATTGGAAAGGTTCCAACAGTTGGAGTTGTTTACAATCCAATAATGGAAGAGGTGAGAATGCAATGCTTTTTGTACCTAAGCTGTGAGGTTTAAACCATAAAACACTTTGCCAGAACATATTTAACAGAATTCTGAGGTATCAATTTAACAGTCTCCAATTCTTGTCATTTTGTAAGTCATAGATAAGACACTTTTTCGTTTATCACCATAGATAGACACCATACGATGGGTTATATATTATTCACAGCTTTTTACTGGCATTCGTGGAAGAGGTGCTTTCCTGAATGAAAAACCTATAAAAGGTGAGTTTTCTTTTCTTGATCCACAAGTCTTGTTTTCACTTTCATATAATTCTCTAGCTGCTAAATTCTACAGTTGTGTGATTATGCAGTATCAGCTGAAACTGAGCTTGTGAAATCTCTCCTCGCTACAGGGGTATGTAAGCATATAGCTGACTTCTTGTGTCCAAGTTCTGTCTAGCTCCACCTTCATCTGGTTATCATCATTTTGAGCTATTTCATTATCTCACTTATCCTTGTTGACCACAGTAGAATTATACCTCTTCATGCATGTTACAAGAACTGAAATTTTTATTCTGCTGAGCAGACTGGAACAAAACGTGATAAGTTGATTATGGAGGCTACAACAAATAGAATCAAAAACTTACTTGTCAAGGTAGGTTCAAAACTTGCCAGGGGTGTGTGTCCTTTTGCTTTGCTATAATTATGCTGGCTTCCAAAAACATTCATGTAGCTGTCTCTTATTTTAACAGGTTAGATCCCTTCGGATGAGTGGCTCCTGTGCATTAAACCTCTGTGGAATTGCATGTGGAAGGCTCGATCTCTTCTATAGTCTCGGATATGGGGGACCATGGTAAGACTTTCACCCTTTCACCCAAATTTAATTTAGTACTTGGCTTTTTGATAAGGTGTGCTTCTTTGATCAGGGATGTGGCAGCTAGTATTGTGATTGTTAAAGAAGCTGGAGGCCTTGTGTATGATCCGTAAGTAGCTAACCTAACCCTCAATAAGTATCATGCATATTTTCAACTAAATTAATAGCGAGGACAAGTAATCTTCCATAATCTATAAACAAAAAAGTACTGTGCAATCCAAATTGTTCCAAATTGCACAACTTTAACCATTAGATGGGGGCGAATCCCTTGATATTGAGGGCTCCTTCTCCCATCTAATAATTCTTGTTTTACAATACGGTACAATTCAGACTTAGAGAATTAAAGATTATTTGAAAATACATGATTATATTGACATGATTGGGATTTTCCTTTGCATCAGATCTGGAAAAAATTTCGACATCACATCTCCAAGAATTGCAGCTTCAAACCCTTTCCTGAAGGACGCATTTGT